AGAATGAAAGAGTAATATACAGATTTGTATTTTGATTGAAAATCGAACTGAAGACAATGAAAAAGCTGTTTACAAAGTGTGTATTGAGAATAGGCTGGGGGCGGAGGGTCGAGGGCGGGTACGGGTTGAGTTAATCACAAGATGTAAGTGAAGTCGACGCACTTGGAGGAGTACAAATTTGATTGTATTGAGATATGTATGTTTCAGGTAATAGTTGTTGTAATTGTGTGTGTGTGTGTGTGTGTTCTTTTTTTCATACAGTTTTTATACCCTTCACACAATTGCAATACAAGAGAGTGTTTGCGTGTGGAAATACCGTGTAAGTCAGTGGAAACACAGCGTTAATCGGTAGAGCAGATGGAAACACTGTGTTCGGGGCAACGCACCAGTGGAAACACAATGGAAACAGGTTGAGAATTGTTATTGAGACATTTATTTATTGCTCTGTGTGGTACGAAGTTTCAAAGAAGTTGTTGTTGGTGGAGTGAGTGTGTTTACCAGTTGCAGCTAGATTGCAGTTCAGCTAGACAGTTAGTAGAGTTTAGTTGCAGTTGCAGTTGCAGTTGCCTAGGAAATTGATTGAGTGCCCGTTAACAGCAATTAGGAAAAGCTTTACATATAGAGAACTTAGCCTAGGAATACGACTAGAAAAAAATATTAAAAAACAAAATTCAAATCAAGCATTGGTAGCTAAAAGGCTGAAAGTAAAATTAATTCAAGGAGGCTGGAGAAATGGGCGTGGTGTACAAAAGAAAATCTTAGTTGGTGCTCAATTCAAAAGCAAAATGAGTTTTATTTTTCTTTTCATCAGGAATTCAAAACAACAAAAGACATGCGGCACAGACGTTAATCAAAATGTTTTAAAAATGTTTGCAATTTTTTTTTTTAAATATTTAGTAAAATTTGTTGTCATCTTTTTTTTTTTTTGCAATTGTTGCTTAAATTTAGAAACAATTTACTCACAACTTGAAGGTTTATTTTCGCAGCCGGATTTATATCGGTCGTTAGATTAATGAGCTGTGAATTTGTATTGGTAGATTATAATAAATAACGAAATAAATGTCTATAAACGAAAGCAAAAACTTAAGTATGTCGGGTGTAGACGCCTAGGGGAGCGCAGCTGGGATCAATTGAATTACTGGGTGTTGTGGGGTGTACTCAAACTAAGCTGGATCTAAATTTGTTGCTGTGCCTGCCTAACAATTGCCGTCCTTTGGGCTGGTTCATATGAAGGGTATAAAAACTTAATCAATCGATGCCTTATTGCGATTTGTGTTGCTAGTTTGAGTATGTTTCGGTATTTGTTTATGTTCTGATGTTGTTTGTTTGGTTGTTTGCTGGGTTGTTTCTTGTTTGTTGTTGATTCATGTGCTCTATAGGGCCTCAGCACTAGCCTAAGATTTCTTTTCAATTGATTGTACTTACTAAACATCAATGAGTACGGCATCTAAACATTGATTGGGATATCTATTCGGGAGCATTGTACCAATTCAACTATATACGAGTACTTTTTATTTTGTATTTGGGCTCTAGGCCTTCAGCGGCTCTCAACCGATATGTAGTTTTAAGTTGCTTTGTATATATTTTGTTTTTTTTTTTTTTTTCAATAGTTTTTGGTCTTACGTAAAACAACAAATGTTAAATTGTACTACTCAAAATGCTAGATAAAATGTTCTATATATATATATTTAATTTACGATTACGTTATGTAAGTAACTAGGCATAGCTATATGGTAATTACGAATATATATAACGAAAATTCGAAATGCTATAATTGTATATAATTACGTGGTATATCATCTCAATACTTTACCAATCGAATTGCAATTGTTTACTTTGTAAATATTTATATAGTATTTTCATTTTGGATTTTTGTGTATATATACATATATGAATATATGCAAATATATTTATATGTATATATGTATGTATTTTTGATAGTACCTAGTACGAGTAGGTGGTCAACTATAATGGCAAAAAATTTGCTAATAAAATAGTATGGTCCTAGACCATATTAGCTAGAGTTATATACGAGTATAGTTAGTTATATAAGTTATATCGATTAAATATGGAATAGGTATGCATGTTATGTAGCGCAAAGTATAACAAATTGTTTACTTTAGTCATATAATAAGTATATTGATATACATATTTGGATAATATATATTTGATATACTTGAATAATATAATTATATATATTGAATTCAATACGATATATATATGCGATTAATTGGCGTATATAAAACTTTTCGCTTAAAGAGCAGCAAATACTTTAATTTCTTTACTCAAATATCAAATTTGAATTTGAAATTTTGTAGTTGGTTTTTGTTAGAATTTGGCATTATAGTTTGTACCTCACGTGTTTGCAATTCCCAGAGTGCTTCATTTATTAAAACTTCTTCGGTGATATTCTGTGGTATAGTTGTGTATTGTTTTGGTAGTAGTAGTAGTAGTAGTAGTAGTAGTAGTAGGTAGTTGTGTGTTATAATTATATATAACGCATAAAATATTAATATAGTAGTAGTAGTATATAGTGAGTTTTATATAGATAGATTATGGGTTTGGGTGACTGGTTTGGCTTTGTTTCTCTTTTCTTATCTTATATATATTTATCGATAATTATATATTGCTTATCGATAGATTCGATGATGACAAATAGAGAGAGAGATAGACAGAGGGAGAGAGAGAGCATAATGATCACGACATTATCTGCGGTGCGACGTCGGTATGTCTTTTGTTCAGATTTGGCTAAAAAAATTTTGGTTTTGGCAGTGCTAACGGTTGATATTTGATTTTGATTTTGATTTCGCTCGCGCTCGGGCACTAATATCTATATAGGCTTGACTTACCGCGTTTTCGCGACGATCGTAAATGGGCATGGAGACGGTGGTCATAAATTGATAGACATTGGAGTCTACTGGTTGGTTCCAGGTCTGCGAAAGGTAGAAATTCACTATATTAATATAATTTAATATTATTTAATACGCAATGACGTTTCACCTCCTTCATGCGTCGATACTCGCGCCTGTGCATTTCGGCTGGCTCCAGCATGCGATCGTGTACCTTCCAATATTCCAGAACATCGGCCTTCTGCTCCTCGCACTGCTTGATATCCCACAGATAGTCGGAAAGTTTGGTATCCTAGATAGCATTAAACGATTGAAGGCGTTTCGATTTTTGGATTCTGTTTGGTAAGTGGCCCAAGGGCATTACCCACCTCGAGGTCYGCATAGACCTGCGTCCATATGACCGGATGATCATGCCTACCCAATACCAGAGGTCTAGCCATAACTGGTATATAATTTAATACCATTTCGCGCACCTCAGCCGTATCGCTGAGGTGCACATAATAGCCCTGATTCTCGCATGCCATCCACCGTATATCATCCCAATTCGCCACCTCTTTGCCAATCAGATAGGTGAACACGCGCACCGGCCTATACGGCGGGTCGCGCCAATTGTGCAATTGGAAGACCTCTTGATTATTTTCGGGTGCCCCATCACCAATGATCATAATCGCCTGATTGCATTGCGCGCCGCGCGAATTTATCTTCGTCTCTTCCAATATCTCGAAGGCCCTTGTCAATGCAGCGGTATAATTGGCAATCGATTTGGGTTTAAACGATTCAATCCCTTCTTTTAGTTCACGTATGTTGCCCAGATTTGCCTGGATGAATTTCGAAGTTTTTGGATAAAACGAATTCGGTTTTGTTTTGTATTTGATTATGTTTTTTTATGGGATTGTTGTGTTTGAAGCCGCATTGATTGTGTAGAGTTCGAAAAATTTTGTAGGATAAAGAAAAATCAGATTGCAAATTGAAAAATGATATCGTAAATAGAAAATTCTATCAAATCAATATATACAAAATAAGACATGTAAATAAAAGAGATATATACTTGAATCAGTGTATCCTCGAAACATCCGACAACTGGGCTCACTTCCTTATCAAAGGTGAAGATGTTCACAAAGTCATTTGTACCTAATGTATCAAGTATAGTATTGACAACATGCTTTGCGATATCTAGCCTCTGTCCCAACATTGAACCAGATCCATCCATTAGGATAATAATATCCTTTGGACTTGTCGCCGCCTCCATGTACCAAGAGCGTAAACGGCAATCGTATAGATCAACCGGTACGTCCTTCTTCCATTTCGATGCAGGGAATTGACGCATAAAGCCTGTCGAACTGCCAAAAAATTGCCACGACAAACTTGGATCGTTTTTATAATTATCACGAAATATCTGATCCAAATTCTCCGACCATTGAATCGCTTTTATAACATCCGATGCTGTGTGTTCAGTGTTTTGTATTCGAAGTGGATTATTCATGTTCGTGTCAATGTATTCGATTGTATGTTTGCCGATGATTGTTGTTGCAGATTTTTGATTTTGTTTGTTTTTGACAAAGAAACGGGAAGAATTTTTAATACAGAAATTGATTAGTTTTTGTATTTTGTTGGGGATTCGAACTAAAACCTAAAATTATATCTCTCTGATAGTTTTTTTTTTTTTAATTTTTAGAATTTGTGAGGCGTTTCATAGCATTAGCACAAGGCAGTGCAGGCGCAGGTGTAAGTGCTTGAGTTGTTGTGTGTGTGGGTGTGAGTTGGTTTTTTTTTTTTCTGGCGTGCTTTGTTGGCATGACCATGGGCGTATTGCACGTAGGTATTACAGTGGCTTAGTTGGGTGTTGTACGGTTTTTGGCAAAGCATTCCGCGTGTCGGCAAGAAACATTCACAGCGCCACGCACGCGCCCCCAGCAACAATTCGCAACGCAGCATCCGCGATGCAGGCAGTGGAAAACATTTGTTTTCTTAGAGATGAACGCGTCTATAACTCTAAGCAAGTCTAATAACTGAATATAAAGAAATCAAATCAGACCAATAAAAACTTCTGAAGATTGATTAAAAATTTTTAAAGATGATAACTATCTTGACCTTCTTTATAAATTATACAAATCCTATTTCTTATCTGAGTATCCATCCTTTATATCTATCTTTTATAAAAAATAATTAATTATGTAAAACTAAATATATATGTATGTCTATATATATTTTTATACCCTGAACCCATTGAAAATGGGAAATCAGGGTATAATGGTTTTGTTGAAATGTATGTAACAGGCAGAAGGAGGCGTGGCAGACCCCACAAAGTATATATATTCTTGATCAGGGTGACGAGCTGAGTTGATTTGGCCCTGTCCGTCTGTCTGTCTGTCCGTCTGTCCGTCTGTCCGTCTGTCCGTCTGTCCGTNTATTTTATGAATATTCTTTAAATTGAGTATATAAATACATTAAACATCCTAACTAAAAACTTTTTAATTTAATTTTAAGTCTCTAATAAACAATGCCCTTAGTTCAGCTTCTAACTAGTAGAGTCCTTTTAAAATGCCTTTTCGACGCGCTCATATCTAAGCTATCAGGCCATTAGGTACAGTTGTGTGCGCAGAATGCGGCGATGCGTTGCTTGCGTGGGCGCGCGTGCGCTTTTGTGGCGCGCATTGACTTAAGCGGTTGGAAATTGAAAAAGAAAAAGAATGCGCAATATACGAGAAATGTTAAACGCTTAAACGGTTGAACGGTTAAACGGTTAATCGGTTAACTATGAACGATAACTAATTAGCATACAGCATACGAGCGAGACAAACAGACTTAGTGCTACGTTTGAGACAGCTATGTTAAAACAGAGACAGTTAGAGAGACGCAGTGTTTGTTGTTGGCATTATGTGTGCTCGTGTGTTGAAGCTTTTACATACGACACGCAGTGTGCTTAACAAAGACAGCAACAGTTACAGTTACAATTACAGGTGAAAAGATATATATATATATAGAGAGAGAGAGAGACACAGAGATAGTTGGAGAAAGAAACAGAAAGAGACAGAGAGAGAGATAGCTGTTAAGATTTTAAGCACAATCCAAACCTCGATCGAACACATTCACCGGCACATGGACCGAACTGACGCTGAAGTTGACCGGCGTATTGTGAAACTCCGGCCTCGGCTCCAGCACTAGAACTTTGGGCGGCACATAGATCAGCGGCTCGCCGATCTGATCGTCCATATCCGGCGGTGTCGTTGGTGCCGGCGGTGTTGGTTCACCTGGCTCCGCCATCGATTTGGCATTGTAGTACGAGAACATCTTGTCCGCCATATCATTTTGATGCGACAGCGCCGTATTCTCAGCGGTATCCATAATGCGCTGAAATTGGAGTAGTTTATATAAATAAATTATTAAAGCGTATAGCATAGTTAAATTATTAATAGAGAACATTACTTACACGCACGGCGCTGACTTTCAGATCCATCATCATTTCGATTTCTTTCGCCATAGACTCCACAATGACGCCCCCTTGACGAGTCACCACTTTGGCCTCCTTAAAGCTCTGTAAGTTATTGAATGGAGATATTTGAATAATAGTTAAAAAGGTTATTTAATGTAGTAAAAATGTCTTGAATTATGAACAATAATTTTCAGATTTCCCTTGCAAATTTTTAAATTATTTTGTACTTCATTGTTAGGATACAAAATTGATCGACGTATTGTGTTGGTGTGTAGTTTTTATATAATCTATATATAAAGTATATACTCTGTTCATTTTTAGTACTTTGCGAGCAACAGAAGAAAATATACATATATTATATACGAAATCTCAAGATCGATAAATATCGATAATTATGGTTTAAACGGTTTATAAATAAAAGAAATTGAACTCATTTGATAATAATCCAACATCTCAGATATTTTTTTATAACATTAATAAAGAATTAAGGAAAATTTAGC